GTGATCGTGTTTACTTGCCAAAGAAATGTGCATCTTCGGTTGGCCACCAGAACTCATGCGCTGGCCATGGTGATGGTGTGGGCCGCCATAACAGCCAATGGTCGCTCTCCGCTCGTATTAAACGACTGTGGCATCAGAATAAATGCCGAATATTGTCGCGAAAATATTCTGGAGGGTGTATTAAAACCTTGGGCAAGCAAACTTTTTGGCCGCAGACCTTGGACATTCCAACAGGACTCAGCACCATCGCACTCTGCACCCGCCACCCAAGAATGGTTACAAAATGAGGTTCCTCCCTTCATATATACCGCACAATGGTCACTAAAATCTCCGGATACCAATCCTTTGGACTATTGTGTCTGGAGTATTTTGGAAAGGAAGGTTGGCACTAAAAATTCCAAAGTGTCGATCACCTCAAGCAAGCGCATCGTCAGGAATGGGCCAAAACACCGCAGAACAACATTCGGGCAACGTGTGACGGTTTCATTGGCCATCCATAATTCGTGCCAAAGGTGGCAATTTCGAACAAATCTAAACTTGTTCTAAAATTGGATGCTATTTCCGACATTTTTTGCTTTCATTAAATAAAATAAAAAACATTTAAAAATTATGCCGTTTGACTTTGTTGCATTTTTTATCTCACCCTGTATAGTTGCTTCTGAAATATTTTACATTTTCGAAAATATGCAGAAAATCTACCGAAATTTTGGCTTACTTGCCAATGAAGACTTTAAGTAGTTCTTCTATATATATATATATGAGGCCATCGAGAGGTCTTCTATGGATGGCAGACCTCTGAGAGGCCTTCAGTAGATGGGATACTTTCGAGAGGTCTTCTATAGTTGGGAGACCTTAGGGAAGTTTTCTATAAATAGGAAACCTTCGGAGTACCTTTCTGCAGGTCTTCTATGGAAAGAAGATTTTTATGGGAAGGCGGTATTCTACAAATAGGAGACCTTCGCGAGGTCTTCTATTGATTGGAGACTTTAAGGATTCTTCTATACATAGGAAATCTTAAGGAGGTATTCTATGGATAGAAGCTCTACAGGAGATCTTCTATGGATAGAGGACCTTCCATATATAGAAAACCCTATGTAGACTTTTTATGTATGGGAGACGCAAACCCCTTAAAAGACCTTGCGAGAGTCGTGATATTTTTAGATTCTAACCATTTTCTAAACCTAAATTTTCTGATTCCATTCTTCAGTTGATACATTTTCTTGTTTAACTTAACGCCACTTAATACACCCTTGCTAATTAATTTGTTTCGGTCACAATGGCACTCATTTTCCCATTTCCAAACCAGGCCAACCTAAATAATTTATTATTCGGTTATTGTGTTTGAACTCCAACCATAACCTACTAAACAAAACCAAAAACAACAATAGCAACAAATACATTAAATATATATTTTTTCTACATTCAACATCGATATAGCGGCAGCGGCTTCTCACCTTATCTACTAACTATGTAGGCGATAAGATTTTCCAAATACCAGTGTGAGCTGGCTGTGAACAATGCTAGAAAGAAAAACCATAACAACTAAATTGGCTTTATTGCAATTGTTGGTTTCTTTTTGTTGAGTTGCAACAGGTGGAATAGAGAAACGGAGGGAGAGAACACATAAAATTGAAAAAAAAATATTTATAAACAAATAAAGCTAAAAATAACAACGACAACAAAAGATATGCAATGCATGACTATACTACAAACTATCCTTTCTGGTGATAGCTATATTCTACCGGTTTTAAAGTTATTTTCCCTCAGTTTTGCTTTGTTTCTCATTCTTACTTTGTTTACCTTTTCAATCGGCCAGCATAGTTTTTTACTTTTATCTTGAAAACAAATATGAGTAAATGCTATTACGCAACTTTTTTATTTTGATTTACGCACAATTTTCCATTAAAACTTTAGAGCCATTAGGCACACAAATATTGTACACTAAAGGGCAAAAGTAATTGTCAGTAAGAAAAAAATTAAAAATTGGAAAATAAAGCTCTTGTGTATTTGACATTCAATTAATTGGAGGTTTCGGAGGTCCTCAGAAGGTCCCCTATAGATAGGTGATCTAAAGGAGGTCTTATTTAAAAACGGAACCTTCATGAGGCCTTATTTAGATTGAGGGCTTTTAAGAGACCCTTTTATAAATTGAAGACCGTTTGTAGATGGGAGGCCATGGCGAAGTCTTCTATTGATAAAATACCTTTGGGAGATCCTCTATGGATAGGAGACTTTCGGGGTGTTTTTTTTAGACAGAAGACCTCAATAGATAGTAGATAGGAGAACTTTCGGAGGCATATATGAGACTATTAGGAAGCCCCTTTATGAGTTTTTCAGAAGATCTTCAATGGATAGGCACCTTCACGCGGTCTATTCTACGAATAGACGTCCTTCAGAACATTTTCTGCAGGCCTTCGGGAGATCTTTCATAGATAGGAGACCTTCCGGCGACCATGGGTAGGTGTTCTATAGATACGAGACCTTCGAGAGGTCTTCAATAGATAGGATTTGATTCCATCTAAGGTCGTATAAAGATATGAGATCTTCGAGACGTCTTCTGTAGATAGGACACCTTCGAGAAATCTTCTATAGATTGGCCACCTTTTGTATAACTTTTTTATAGGGTATCTTTGAAGGTCTTCTATAGATAGGAGGCTTGCGGGAGGTCTTTTATTGATAGGAATCCTTCGGGAAGTCTTCTATAGCTAGGAAGCCTACGAGAGATCGATAGATAGATTAGAGATCTTCGGATATCTTCTACGGATAGGATACATTTGGAAGTATTCTGTAGATAGGAGATCTTCGGGAGATCTTCTATATATAGGAGACCTTCGGGAAGACTTTTATAGATAGAAGATCTACGGGAGGTCTTCTGTAAATTGGAGACCTTAAGAAGGTCTTCTGTAGGTAAATTCTTTTGGGATGTGTTTTTTTAAATTAGGATCTGGGAGGATTCTAAAGATAGGAGACCTTTGGAACATCATATATGTGGAAGACGATTAAAAGGTCTTTGCGATATCTTCTATAAATAGGAGACCATCGGGTGGACTTTTATAAATGGAAGACCTTCAGGAGGTCGTGTATAGATAGGAGGCCTTAGGGAGGTCCTCTATAGATAGGAGACCTTAGGGAGGTCCTCTATAGATTGGAGGCCTTCGGGAGGAAGCCTTCCGGAAGTCTTCTATACATGGGGGACCATCGACAGGTCTTCCTAAGATAGGGGACTTCTGGAAAGTTATTCTACAAATAACAGACCTTCGGTAGGTTTTCTATATATAGCACATCTTCGGGAGGTTATCTTTAGATAGGAGACCCTCGGGAGTTTGTCTATAGAAAGAGGAACTTCGGGAGATCTATAGATAGACTGGAGACCCTCAGCAGGTCTTCTATAGAAAGAATAACTTCGCTTTTTTCTATAGATCAAAAATATACTCGAAAGGCCTTCATTTCATTACTCTTCTATAGAGTACCGGACTTCCATGGGGTTTCCTATGGAGAATAGGCCTTCGGGATATCTTTGGATAAAACGAAAGGCCTTTCTTAGATTGAACAGTTCGATTTTTATATTTTATGGTTAGAAAACCCGACAACCTCGGGAGTTTGTCTATAAAAAGAGGACCTTCGGGAGATTTATAGATAGACTGGAGACCTTCAGACATTGCTATTTTTGGATAAACTGCCTTCAGGGCGCCTTTCTTGGATACTACAACTTTTCCTTTCTGTTCTATAGACTCCGGACCTCCATGGAGTTTTCTAGAGAGAATAGGCCTTTGTGACATCTTTGGATAAAAGATAATGCCTTTCTTAGATATAACAGTTCGATCTTTATTTTTTATGGTTAAAAAATCTTCATGTGGCCTTATATAAAGTAGAAGAAGTAAATAAAGGCATTTCGTTGATAGAACAGTTCGATCTATTTATTTTATGGTTAGAAGACCTTCGTGAGGTCTTTTTTATATCGGAATTTGTAGATGGGAGATCTTCATAAAGGTACCTTCTATTAATAAACGTCCTGATCTTTTTAAGATCCTCAATAAATGGAAGGCTTTTCTACGACTGGAAAGCTTTATAAAGGATGTATAATTCTATTCAGTTTTATCTGGCCCACAATTCAAATTTGAAAGTTTCGAAAATCCGATAAAAAAATGTTAGGTTTGGACAAGTATCGAAAAGAAATGATTTACAAATTTTTTGTCGCAAAGTTTAGGACGCTTGTAGAATTTAAAAATATATGTATTCTTACAGTATACACTCGAAATAGCCACCAAAAACAAATAAAAAACAATGCTTACAAAGCACTAATATAATTTTTTTTCCAACAATTCCAATTGAACTTTGATAAAACAAATTTAGTTGGTTTGCAAAATTTTGGATTCAAAATTCCATTTTTGGCCTCTAATCAAAGTTCCTTTGGCTTGTTTTTTTTTATAAAATAGCTATTAACACTTCTTATAATAATTTATTATTTTTAAATAAACTATATATTTCTTTTTCTCTTTTTTTGTATACGCACAACATCTATGGCACCAACAAATGATAAAAATAATAATAAAAACAAAACTACAAAACAACAAATTATCTTTGAAAACAACAACACCTCAATCCACGTGAAAATTCAAATTAATTCTTCACATCTCTTTTTTTTGCGTAAAATAATTAATGGTATATCTTTTGTGGCACTCTATAATTTTTCACCAAAACAATATTAATCTATGTATGTGTGTGTGTGGGTTTAAAATAAATCAATTTTACCACCTTCTCACCATGTATGTGTGTGTGGGTATTTTGCGAATACAATAAATCTTCACCATGAAAACAAACTATTCCCACGCTATTGGTCTATTTTATGTTACGGTAACTATTCTGCTGCTGCTACACCACCACTGCCACAACCCCATCATCATCAACACCACCACAACTACCGTCATTTATCTACCATCACAATTGGTGGCGGGCTTATCTTGTCCTAAATCCTCCTCCAACACGCAACACACACACAGATTTTCCACCCGGTCAACTTTATCGATCAAGTGAGAAATTCGATTCAACGGAATTCCATCAATACCAACAACAAGGTTTGCTTTTGTTTTAGCCACATGTGTATCTTGTTATAGGCCAGCTACTAGCACGCATGTCCAAAGCATTTTAAGGACTTATTTTGCATTTCAGTTTTTTTTGTAAATTCTTTAACATTTAATTTTTTTTTTACAAAATTAAAAATAGTTGATTTGTTGTTCAAAAAAAAAAATCCCTATATAAACACAATTTGGTTGTACATCCTTCATCCTTTAACAAGAGAAAAATTTCCTCCCTTTTCACCCGCCTAGTAATTGCATTATTTTGCCGTCTATTTTAATTAACTGCATTTGCCATTGTTTGCCATCGCTTTGCTTTGTCCTGACTGCCTGTTTTACAACATGCCTGCCACATATATATTTAAAAATCTGTTGCATGCAAATTGTGTGTGTGTATATATGAGAGTGTGTTTGCCTGCGGGAAATTTAATCAATTAATTTAAAAAAAAAAACTACAACTCAACTCATGTTCAACGTCATTGATATATGTAATTTTTTTCTGATTGTCAGGTTATTGATTTTTTTTTAATAGGACATTTATCCGAGCTACACAAACACATTAAACTATTGAAAATTTAACGGCGCTATTTTGAACAATCAGTTGTGCTTGCAAATAGCTGGAATAGTTGTCCTTAGCTTCTGGTTTAAATGGAAAATGGATTTTTGTAGAATTAATTATTTTTATAAAATAAAAGAAAACAAAAACAATTCCTAGCGACAGTATTTGGACCGCATTCGCTTTCGAATACATTTTGATCGATATAAGAGAACGAAATTTGTCTGGGTCAATTTTCGATACCAAAACTCTATTTCTTATTTCTATACGGAGTTCCATGTGAAATATTAAAATTAGGGAATCCAAGAAATGGGTAAAAATATAGACAAATCGTGTTTCAGAACATATCTACTTCTGTTACTCTTTAGAGACGAAAATAGCCATTTCTCGGAAACTATTATCGATATAGGGTTTATTTATTAAACACAAAAACACTATGTTGTGATCGGTCCAGCCAAAAAGATTATAACATACCTAGATCCACCATACCGATTTTTCTATCTAGCGAGCTGAGTCGATCTACAGGGTGAGATAAAAAAACTGCAACAAAGTCAAACGCCATAATTTTTACACTTTTTTCAATTTTTTTTTTGAATGAAAGCAAAAAATGTCGGAAATAGCATCAAATTTTAGAATAAGTTTAGATTTGTTCGAATTGTTCACCTTTGGCACGAATTATGACCTTCAAACGACCATAATGAAACCATGAAATCGTCACAAACTGCTCGAATGTTGGTCTGCGGCATTTTGGCCAATTCCCGGCGAAGCGTTTGCTTGAGGTGATCGACACTTTGGTATTTTTTAGTGCCAACCTTGGTTCTCAAAATACTCCAGACAAAAAAGTCCAAGGTATTTGTATCCGGATATTTTGGAGGCCATTGTGCTATGGAAATGAAGCGAGGAATCTCATTGGATGGACGGACAGACACCTCATTTTCTAACCATTCTAGTGTGCGCGTGCTGAATGCGATGGTGCTGAGTCCTGTTGGAATGTCCATGATCTGATGCCCGTGAAGATAAATTGTAAAATATAAATGCAATGTGTTGGTGCGCAAGGGGTTAATTGAAAAATAGTTTTTTCTAATATTAATGGTTTTTAACATTTTTTTTGGATAAATCAACGTATTTTTAAATTAATTTAAATTAAATTAACTAATTAAATTAATTTAACAGGAAAATGACACAATTTCCCGACGAGGACGAATAACCAGAGTGGTGTTGGCGGTAGGGAAACTGCATGGAAAATGCTGAATTGCACAAAAACTATGGTAGCTGCGTCATTGAGGCGGGTCTTAAATGAAAGGTCTCGAGGAGTACTTTCTGGCTATATATGCCTTATATTCCCAACTGATTTCAGATAATCGAATTTTTTCGATTTTCTAACCAAAGTGGCGGTTTCGGTAGGGAAACTGCATGGAAAATGCTGAATTGCACAAAAACTATGGTAGCTGCGTCATTGAGGCGGGTCTTAAATGAAAGGTCTCGAGGAGTACTTTCTGGCTATATATGCCTTATATTCCCAACTGATTTCAGATAATCGAATTTTTTCGATTTTCTAACCAAAATGGCGGTTTCGGTAGGGAAACTGCATGGAAAATGCTGAATTGCACAAAAACTATGCTAGCTGCGTCATTGAGGCGGGTCTTAAATGAAAGGTCTCGAGGAGTACTTTCTGGCTATATATGCCTTATATTCCCAACTGATTTCAGACAATCGAATTTTTTCGATTTTCTAACCAAAATGGCGGTTTCGGTAGGGAAACTGCATGGAAAATGCTGAATTGCACAAAAACTATGCTAGCTGCGTCATTGAGGCGGGTCTTAAATGAAAGGTCTCGAGGAGTACTTTCTGGCTATATATGCCTTATATTCCCAACTGATTTCAGATAATCGAATTTTTTCGATTTTCTAACCAAAATGGCGGTTTCGGTAGGGAAACTGCATGGAAAATGCTGAATTGCACAAAAACTATGGTAGCTGCGTCATTGAGGCGGGTCTTAAATGAAAGGTCTCGAGGAGTACTTTCTGGCTATATATGCCTTATATTCCCAACTGATTTCAGATAATCGAATTTTTTCGATTTTCTAACCAAAATGGCTGTTTCGGTAGGGAAACTGCATGGAAAATGCTGAATTGCACAAAAACTATGCTAGCTGCGTCATTGAGGCGGGTCTTAAATGAAAGGTCTCGAGGAGTACTTTCTGGCTATATATGCCTTATATTCCCAACTGATTTCAGATAATCGAATTTTTTCGATTTTCTAACCAAAATGGCGGTTTCGGTAGGGAAACTGCATGGAAAATGCTGAATTGCACAAAAACTATGGTAGCTGCGTCATTGAGGCGGGTCTTAAATGAAAGGTCTCGAGGAGTACTTTCTGGCTATATATGCCTTATATTCCCAACTGATTTCAGATAATCGAATTTTTTCGATTTTCTAACCAAAGTGGCGGTTTCGGTAGGGAAACTGCATGGAAAATGCTGAATTGCACAAAAACTATGCTAGCTGCGTCATTGAGGCGGGTCTTAAATGAAAGGTCTCGAGGAGTACTTTCTGGCTATATATGCCTTATATTCCCAACTGATTTCAGATAATCGAATTTTTTCGATTTTCTAACCAAAATGGCGGTTTCGGTAGGGAAACTGCATGGAAAATGCTGAATTGCACAAAAACTATGCTAGCTGCGTCATTGAGGCGGGTCTTAAATGAAAGGTCTCGAGGAGTACTTTCTGGCTATATATGCCTTATATTCCCAACTGATTTCAGATAATCGAATTTTTTCGATTTTCTAACAAAAATGGCAGATCATGATCTGCGGCCAAAATGTTTGCGTGCCCAAGTCATTAATACACCCGCCAGAATATTTTCGCGATAATATTCGGCATTTATTCTGATGCCACGGTCGATTAATACAAACGGAGAGCTACCATCGCCTGTTATGGCGGCCCACACCATCACCATGGCCGGCGCTTGAGTTCTGGTAGCCAACCGAAGGTGCACATTTTCAGCTGACCTCTTTGGCAAGTAAACACGATCATTTCGTTTGTTTACAAACCAAACCAGAAAATCAAATTCGGCAGTTCACCACTTTCGGCCAAGCGAGGCTACTCTTTAGCTCTTTTGAGTCTATTTACCTTCTGTTGCAGTGTAAGTTCTTGCCCTTTTTGGAATTTCGATGGATTTACCCCGAGCTCAATATTTCAATATTTGCTGAATGAAATATTGCGATATGTTCAGCTCATGAGCCATTTTTTGGGCACTGCGACGCGGGTTTCGATCAAGTCGCTTCTTTACTTTTCGAATCATTTCTGCTGATGTTGCTGTTTTCTTCCGTCCACTTCCTTAGCGTTCGGCTACGGTACCAGTATCACGGTAACGAGCGAAATTACGAGACACAAAAGATTTATTAACATTCAAATGCTGGAGTGCTCTAACGATAGCCACTTGTGGTTTTCCCGCCAAATATATAGAAATCACTCTATCACGCTTGAATTCCATCACCAATAACTTTTTTTCTGGAAAAATCTCACCAAAATGCTTTTGTACGCTTGTAAATAATATAATGAGCTGTCACTGGAATAATTTTAACAGTTGTCGGAAGAGTGGCTTAGAAATGAGAGCTGACTGAATTTGGTTACAGTTTTTTCATCTCACCCTCGAAATTATTTGTTATTAAATTTTAGAACAGTGTTGGCTGGTTTGTTCGGGATACCATAGTATTTTGTTATTGCAAAATGGTCTGGCCTAATCCTATTATTGTTGTTTTTATAAAAGCAACGTGGAGAACGAAGGTAATGTTTACCAGGGGGTAAGGCAGGGAATACTTTGGTTTCGGAAAGAGCCACCAATCCTCATTAGTTCCCTCGTTTTATGTCTGGGATATTCTCCCCAGAAGTTATTTTAAAAATAACTTCTATGATAAAAAAAAAACTTTTTTTTACCATGACGAGATCGTAAGCTCCATAGAAGAGGAACCAAAGAAGTAAATAATACTAAAATTCTGTTGGAAAATTGCTATACCTGAACATATTTTTTATATGACTGTACCGCCCGATATTCTGCGGTATTTTGAAAGTTTCGGCAAATTTCACATTCGAAATGCCTGTATAATATATACGAAAACGCCTAAAAAATTTTCTATCGTAGAAGCTTTTTAATAGGTCTGCTATCTAAGAAGTCCTAAAGGGCCTATGTCCTATATCTGTGAAAGGCTGTTATACGATATTTTATTTGTAGAAGGTCCCTAAAAAGTCTTCTATTTGTAAAGGCCTTTTCCATGGTAAAAAAGTCATTTCAAATAAGCATATTCATCTCTGAATTTTCTGTAATTTACCTTATCAGAAAACCTTTTAAGATTCGGCTATTTGTTGTAGGTATTTATTTGCTTTTTATACAATATAGAATATATCTGATAGTTTCCTTCTTTATAAAACACTTAAAAAGGT